ATGTCAATTACTGCATTCAAACAGTAAAAATCTCTTTCTATATTAAAAAATTCACTCATAAACAAATATAAGTAATATTGCATGCAAATTAAAATAGATATCAGGAGTTATTCGATAAAATTCAAGATCATTTCATAATAATTTAGATTCAAGATTACTTACATTGATAAGGGTTACATTATATATTAATGCATTTAAATTTTATTATAATATAGTAAAAAACTGATTTTAGAATAATAATTCGCGGACTTTAGACTTATATTAATGTCGGAAAAAAAGGCTTAACTATTATGAATTTTACTTATATTAAAGTTTCTCATGAAGAAATTTTTCACATTATTTTTAGGAATGAACAAGAGAACGACGACATAGACAGACTTTCAATTACATGTATATCAATGATCTAACGGATCTATAGATTGAAATTTATTGAAAATACAGAAGGTCGTTCAAACTGTACGGAAACGATTTTGATAATAAAATTTTATGCATAGAGGGCATATTTCTTGCAATTATAATCATTTGCTATTGTCTGATAGCCATACTTCTTGGCTGTGGCATAGCTCTAATTTTTAATGAAAGTAAACTTTTTCTTAGCAAAGTGATATCAGTTTTTATCTTACTCCTCTTGGGTCATTTTTCAAAGTCTGGTCAGGGCTCTTGAATGCATTTCAGGGTTCGTTTTAATTAAACAAAAGCTAGAAACTACACAAAAGAAGCATCAGTGGATTTCATAGCTATTTCATTAACACAGGATACATTTTATTTCTATTTCTGACACTTTCGGTTCTAAATAAGTGATAGTTGACTTAAATATATGACTGGAGGTTTGTTCATGTGCAGTTCAAAATTACTTATGTCTTTTCCATAAGGCTGGAATTCCTTCTTCAAAAAATTGGTTCAAATACATTCTGATAGTGAATTAATTTTGAGTTTAGTCTTAACGGAAGATTGTAAAAAAATACTGCAAGTGGCATAAATTTCGTTAATAACTTTTATGTGCATTGAGGAGCCATTACGTAAGGTCATTTGAGTAAAATATGCCTCACAAAAAAGAGATGAATTTTAAGTTTAACATCTTTATGAACTTCAAATCTTTATCAATGATTTTACTTACAGAGCCAGGAGACATTCCCAGTTCCGCTGCAATGGATTATTGAGTCAGCGAATTTTCTCTCAAGATTAGACACTTCTCTTCCTTAATATTTACCCGCGTTCGAACTGTCTTGAAATACACTTTTGCGGCCATTTTGATTTCATTTTACTTTCAAATAAGGCGCTTTTCCCTTTCAAATTTAATACATTAAAAATACCTTTCTTTGAGACAGTTTTTTCAACGTTTTACAATGTTTTTGATAGGAAGAGTTTTTTCCTTGGAAAATGCATCTACAAAAACCATCTATCAATTTTCAGAGATATTTCCAAAATAGATTTCTTATCCTTCAAAATCTCTTCAAAATGAAACACCGCAAATGCTTTATTTCAAAATGCTAGCGAAATAGGTTTATAAAAATAATTTCCAAAGAGCGAAAGATCTGTTGTGTAGCAAATTTAGTATAATTAAGTGAATCATAAAAATCAAAATTTTAATTTGTAAATATTCAAAATTTTAGCTACACAACAAGTTTGGATACATTCATTTATTTGGCTTATTAATTCTAGTGTAATCTATTTCGGCTATTCGAGTTTACGCGAACAGCGTCTTCAATCTTGTGCACTCAGACAATGGATATAGGTGAATTTTCAAGTAATAAACTCAGTTTTTCATGATAAAAATTAAGTTGATTTCTTAGTTTTTAATATCGTTAGTTGCAGAAAAATTAGCTCTTTAATTTCATATAACTTTCGTTTTCCTAACTTAATCGCATTTTAGTTATGAGCTTTCATTAACAGTTTTTTTTCCGTTGTCATTGTGATTTCTACTCTGGGGGAAGAAGTGCCCTCTTTCCGGTAAAATAGTCGTTTTTTCGAGTTTTCAGCGTTCCTTCGTTGGGACTGCTTACAGGGTTGTTGAAATTCCAAATTCTCCCCTTCGTGAGGCGTGGCTGATTGGCAACGGCATGGCGACTTAGAATTTCCGTTGGGGTTTCAAAGTGGTAGCTTTGGCGAGATTGTTAACATGAAGGAATGCTGAAGTTGCAACTGGTTTAAGTTTTGGCGGGGAGTGAGCTATGCCAAGTTGGTATTCCGGCGCGTCCCCTTTTAACGGGTTGTTTTGAGGGACGAGGTGACTTTTTGGACTTTTTTCACTTGCCACTTTATGTTGTGCTAGCCGACAGCTGCTTTTTCGGAATCATGTTCGAGAGATTTCCATTCTGGGAAGGGCCATTGTTAGGCCTTTGCTTTCTGAGGCTTACTTAATGATTTGTCCCAGTAGCGGATTCTCGTGGCCTTCGGCCCGAGAAATTTTCTGCGTCAGCTCAAGTGAAATAAAGGAATGAGATAAATAAAGAATTTTTAATACCTTAAACATCGATACTAGCTAAATTTTCCATCGTACTACTCATTTTTTTCAATATGTCATCAAGTACTTCCAACCCTGGGTCTAACCGTCGGGAAGAAAACAACTAAGACACCGTACCCAGAGAGAAAAGAAGATCCTCATATAGTGCCATCTATTTTCTTGCACCTCGGAGTTCTAGGAACTTTTCATCCTTTACGTTGCATCCGGATTGAACTTTCATCTTAAGCGTGGGTTAAGACCCACTTCAGATTCGAATTTAACAAAAATATTCTCCGTGAGCATCGGAGCGTCATCTTAGCGGAAGTTTGCTTCAATTCAACTGAATCGGCTGTGTCGTCCAACTTCTGATGGGATGGTTTCCTGCTGTCACCGTTGCCCTACCTACCTTGTTCGGTCATACATCTTGCATAGTGTTAATTGCCATTTTCAAGAACTTTCGTCTGCTTCTTAATAACAGATGATTGCGCCTTATTCAGTAAAACGACGTCCATTTGCGTCAAGATGGTTTTACTGTCTCCCATCCCATAGCTGCCCGTCTGGATGTCAAAGATAAGTTTTTTTTTTTTTTTTTTTTTTCTGCTTTAATTGTCTAAGGTAATAGATTTCTGCAGTTAAAAGGATTGAAATAATGTAGTTTGTTGAACTTTAAATTTTTTGTAGTTGATAAATTTAACCTAACTCTACAGAAATCATTTTTTGTGTGTCGATTAAGTAAAAGTATTAGATTGACTAAGGAATTATAACCTTATTTAAATTATTGTAATTTAGTTTAATTGTTATAGAAAAATAAGTTCTTCATGAAATTATTTAATTGAACTTGTGGATTTCCTTCATGGCGAGGATTGATTTGTAATAGTATCATTATTTGAGCTTCTTTGCTCCTTTCAGGGATTAACTTTGCTTGAAGGATTGTAATAGTATGAATTAGATTAATAATTTTATCCGGTTAAACTATACTCTTAAAAATAGAAAATTATTATGTGCAATAACTAAGCTATCTGTTTTAATTAATGGTATTAAGTGCAATAGTCTGCAGTTTTTTTTTGTATTGATTATTCTGTGTGAAGTCTTTTCTTTTCTTGGAAAAGTGTAACTTGTTAAATTTATTTTTTTTCTCCCCGGGGAGGGTATTGTTCATTTATTCAAAGTTTTATTCTGATATGTTTACTTGATTGTAAAAGTAATTATAGTAGATATTTTTAAAGGCTAAAGTTAAAGTAATATTACTCAATAAGAGTATGGATTGTAAAACTCAATAATTTACAGAACTGTTTGAATATATTTTGATTTTCTAAGTAATGGATATTGTAATTGCAGAAGAATTAAATAAATAAGTTCATTTTCTAGATCAGTCAATGGTTATTTTATTTTGAGTGCTCATGATTTTCACCAGTCTACTTCTCAAATTGATTATAGGGTTAATCCGGTAAACACAACGCAATGAAAAGATTTTATTGATACTAGTATTTTACTGTTGTAAGAGTATTTTAAGTGTTATGGTCAACTAGTAGGTTACCTTTCAGGTACACTATATCTAAACACAACATAACAGATCTTTTATATAACGTATAAGAAGTTACAGAATTTGATAATTTCGAAAGAATATTAGTGATACGAGGGAAAATATGGAATATTTTGGGATATTTTCAAAACACACTAATAGTATCGCAATGGGAGGAAGCCCATATTCGACTTTAACCTTCAGTTTTATTCGGAAAGTTCAGTAAACCATTCTTTAGGCTCATTTAATTTTGAATAATCTCTATAATGCTCAGTTGCTTTACGTCTAAGCCTTTAATCTCTAATATTACATAATGGAGAATATGTATGTGCGTATGCAGATATGTATGTATATTTGTATCTTCCTTGCATTGTGGAAAAAGGGCGGCATATAGAGCCCCTCAGTTTTGAATAGGCATCCTTCATCCCAACAAGTACACCTCGAAAGTCGAAGTTTGAAATTCAAATTTGTTTCTTTTATTTATTTCATATTTTATGCGAATTGAACGCAATTCTGATTAATGAATTCTGCGGTTTAAAAACAGGGTAAGTGTAAGATATTTATATTTCTAATTTTGCCAGAAAACTAGCCTATTTTAAAGAAATGTGTTGCCGTTCGGCAAAGCGTAATATATTTGTATTTCAGATGTCATCAGTATTCTAAGCGAATTAAAATAAATGTGCTGCCATTGCATGAAATAAAATATATTTGACTCAACAATTGTCTTTCGGCAAAGCGTAAGATAGTTAATGCTTATTTTCATATTTAAATATCAGTAGTGTTAAAACGTCAGAATGCCAATTATTAATTTTCCGAGCAATAAATGCAGTTCCTTCCTTGTCTATATTATTATTAATTGCCAGATGGATCCGAGAAATAACACTAGCTAGACTCAGTATTATAATTATTATATATGTTTCTTTTTTTACAATAATTACTTCAGGCCTCAGACCGAGCAAGCGACTAATGTTACATATGAGTTAAGAAAAATTTAGTCCAACAATAACATCATTATAGAAAAAAAATTGTATTTACATATTCGTTGCTGTTGCAATGTGTTCAAAAATAGTCACTTCTTGTTCTAATCTCTGCGTCTCGAAATCCAAATCAAAATTCCTGTTCGAACTGAAATCGTCCATATCTATGGCATCTATAGAAAAAATGAAAACAAATTTAATAATAGACAGGAATAAATTTTACGCACAGTTAATCAGAGAATAGGTCAGCTAAAAAACATATATATCATTGGTACTTTAAAACTGATCGAAATCAACGATTAAACAAACTATAAATATCGAAATATTTACTTTATGAGATTTATGGTGTTCGCAGAAAACATGGCAGAAGAAAACATCGTTGGGAAAACAATGCATATATCGTTGGGAAACATATTATAAGGTAATTAAAAATATGAAGTAAAGAGGAAAGGATGTTTCTAATTTCCCTTTGGAGTTCTCAAATCTTTATGTAAACATAATTTTAAACTCATAAGTCTGAAAACAAATATCTGCGATATTATCACCATACGATGATTTGTAGGTACTTTATGTTTTACCACGATATTTTCTCTACGATGTTTTAAAACTGTGAAGATTTTTGTTCTGTACTTGTGTCATGGCACCAAAAATGTTATGGTTTATTTATTTTTTTTTTTTAATTTTTTCCTGAATTTTTACCTCCTAAGTTACCAAAAAGGGGTACCCTACTAATTTACCAGAACACCAGAATACTCTTTCCTACAATAACATTCCAGTATCAATAACCTGTTCTAATTGCGTTGTGTTTATTTCGGAATAACCCTAAAAATCCATTTGAGTAAAGACTGGTAAAAATCATGAGCACACAAAATAAATTTAACCATTGAATGATCTAGAAAAAACTTATTTATTTATTTAACTCTCATTGCAATTAATATATATATATATTTTTACTTGGAAAATCAAAATATATTCAACACTGCAGTACTATTGTTTTACTAATCAAACTATTACTGAGTAATTATTACTTAACATCAGTCTTTAGAATTTCTATTATAGTTACTATAGCAATCATGTAAACATACCAACAATAGACTATAAATTAATGAACAGTAATTAATGAACAATACCCTCCCCGGGGAGAAAAAAAAATATAAATTTTAACAATTTACACCTTCTACTTCACACAGAATAATCAATACTATAGACATATTATTGCACTCAATACCATCCAACAAAATAAAATAGTTATTGCACATGATAATTTTCATTTTTTTTCCATTTGTTTATTAAAGTAGTAATTAACCGGATAAATGTTAGATAAATACACTACTATGATCCTACCAGAAGTTAATCCCTGAGAGTAACAGAGAGGCTCAAACAAGATATTACAAATCACTCCTCACCAAACAGGCTCTCCAAGGTTGAATTACATAACTATAAGAACTTATTTTCCTATACAATTAAGTTAAGTTACAATAATAAAAAAAATTTAAATCCTTCGTCAATTTAATATTTTACTTAATCGACACAAAAAAAAAATGATTTCTATATAGTTAGGTTATCTTGGTCTACCACAAAAAGAAATTTAATGCTCAACTCATCAATTAATTCAATCATTTAACTGCGGAAGAATTCATTAAACTTTATCTAACCGGGAAAGAAAACATAAAAAAAAAATAACTTATCTCTAAGGTAAGCAGTTGCTGAGTAGCAGGCCAAAATCTTAACCATATGAAACAAAATTGTCCCTTGGAAGTTCAGGAGTAAAGCCGGCAGCGGGTAACAAGGTTAAGAAGTGAGTTCCGTCGATTATATGGAGGTTGTCACGGGAGCCGTAGGGGTTTTCTAAATTTAATCAGGATGAACAAGGAAGATCCCTCTTGGATGAAAAATTTGAAATACAGTCCAGGACTAGGAGACGACAGCTGTCAGCAAGGAGAATATTTCAGCTCAGGAATCATTCGGTGGGATAGGCGAGTCGACTTCTAAGCTCAAAGAAGAAGCGGGTTTTGGGTGAAGCAAAAAAAAAAACCAATGAAGCATTTCTATGGTAGAGACAGTAGAGACATCTGATGAAGCAAAGACGTATGAAGCATTTCTAAGGTAGAGACAGTAGAGACATCTGATGAAGCAAAGACGACGATTTTCAGCATTTAATTTCCTGAGAACTTTAATGAACACATACTCCAAAAAAATATATATAATTTGCTACGATGACCTAGGTATAGACAAAGATACCCGTAAACCAGGGCCCGCGCTCAAGGCGCAGAGGCACGAGGCCCGTATTTCGAATTCGGTGAAGAAGCATTTCATATCCTCGGCAGAATCTGCTGCCTATCGCGTACAGCATCCGAAAGGAATTCAAAAGAAAGCAGAAGACGTGTCAAAATGAGTCTCTCGTCCCCCAAAACAACCCGTTAAAAGGGAGGACGCCGGACTGCCAACGTTGGCACCACCCACTCTTCGCCGAAAAGTTAAAATAGTTGCAACTACAACATTACCTTTCATGTTAGCGAACTCGCCAAATCCACCTACTTTGAAACCCTCAACGGAAATTCTAAGTCGCCAACCTTCGCCACCCCCAAAATACACCCCGCCTCGTGGACAGGGGAGAAATTAGGAATTTCAACAACCCTGTAAGGGGTCCCAACGAAAGAAGCGCTGAAAACTCGCAAAAAAGTGACAAATTCTACCGGAAAGAGGGCATTTCATCCCCCTTTAACTAAATCACAAGCAAACGAAGAAAATTTTACCAATTAAAGCTAATAACTGAAATGCAATTAAAGTTAGAAAAACGAAAGTTATGCCAAATTAAAGAGCTAATTTTTCTGCAACTAATGATATTAAATACTAAGAAATCACATTAATTTTTGACATGAAAAACTGAGTTTATTACGTAGAAAGAAATACTTATCCATTGTTTGCGTGTACAAGATTGAAGACGCAGTTCGCGTAAACTCGGAAAGCCAAAATATATTATACTAGAATTAATAGGCCCAAAAAGAATATAACCAAACTTGTGTAGCTCAAATTTTGAATAATTACAAATTAAAATTTTGTTTTTTATGAATCACTTAATTAAATTAAATTCGCTACACAACATTTTTAATTCATTTTCTAAGACGATACCACGGTATTTGGTACTACGATGCTTTTGCCTTATGCTGATTTCTCCGCGATGCTTTCTTCTGGGAGGGTTTTTGCTTGTAAGCAGATTTATAACTTCGTTCTGGTAACTTTCTGCAAGCATAAAATGAAAATAAATATTGAGTAAGAATTGCTCATTTTCAGAATCAAACCAATAGAAATATTAAAATTTTATTAATATGAAAGGAATAATTCAAAAGAAGTTTGTTTCGGGGTTACAGGCGGTGAATTCCATGATTTGTAAATATATTATGGACATAACTATGAAGAGAACAAGGCTTAAAAAAGCATCAACTAAATAACTGGTTTTTAATATGTAACAATGCATCTTCACACAATTCTGTTTTCCTTAAGTAATTTCTAGCAAAGAAAATTGTTGCAGTTCTCAACTGTTCTCTTATTCACCAAACTTGGTACCTGCAGACTACTTTCGCTTCCCTAAAATCTCACTTCGCTCATAATTTTAATAGTATAAAATTATATAGAAAACCGCATCTGAAAATTAAAGAGCATTAAATTGTTAAATTTTATAATCTACCTGATCTAGCAATACCCATAAATTCCTTAATGTAATGATAAAAAAGTTTAATATTTATTTATTTTTCATTAATTAATTTCTTTACCATAACAAGAGAGAATGCTGATGTAGTTTAGTTGCTTGAATTTTACTTACTTGGTCTTCGAATTTTCTTATCTAAAGCAGATCGAAGAGATAATACTTCCTGAAAGCTTTCCAGGATATCTTCAAAAGGGATTTCAGACACACTTGTACTCTTATGATTAGGATTTGACGTTTGTGAACAGATGCTAGCTAAGAGGGCGCTGACAAACACAGCAAAAAACCTAAAACGACAGAAAGCCCAAATAAATTGAACAATAAGACTAAAATATCAATAAAAATGTTGTGACAATCTAATACGTTACAGAACTGAATGTTTTTAAAGTGTTTTCAATAATATTATACAATATTTTAAAAATAAAGCAACTTAAAACAACTACAATGTGAATTTCATGTACAGCCGAGTTTAACATGGAAACAGTTTTAAACATCTACGAGAAGCCCAATATTTTAAAACTTAACAACCCGAAAATAAGGTAAAGAACTAAAATCATTTGGTTTTAAGTGAGATTGCTATTTTGCGTAGCTGCTGAAAACAGCTACGCCAAATGATAGAAAAAAAGGTACAACCCATGAGCATGTCTGGAATTTCATCAGTCGGCGCCTCGCTCGTACAGCTGCTGGGGCACATACTAAGACTGAATTTTGGCGGCAGGTCGAAGCCATATGCAATGCCATTTCCCAGGACTACATTCAAAACATGTATCACCGCTTAGCGTGACAGGCTCTCACCGCTCAGCGTGACAGACATACAAAGTAATGATTTCCGTTCGTTTTGTTTTTCATCTTGTAAATTCGATCATTCATTTGTACCACTATCAGTAATATGTGGAATAAATTTCATTCATTTGCGACTATTCCTTCATGGTGTTGCATTTTCCACAAACCTTAGTGTAGCTATACATTCTGACACACAGAAGAACAATTACAACTTAACTTCAATAAGTAACTTGTTTATGTAATGTGAGCTTCTTCCTTTCTTCATGTGCTGTATCTATAAACATTGAGTCACACTTTTCACTGAAAAATATAATCTGACCAGTCTAGAAGCACTTTCTGATACTCAGAATCCGTAACTTAGAATTTGACTTTGATTCGTCTTCGAATAATATCTTAAACGAATTTCAACATCTTGTAATAATTCAGGATGAATACATTAATATCCAGTCCACACTCTCACAAACGTTTTAAAATCTAAAAAGAGAGCCGAGAATATCATCCCATTAAGACTTCAAAAAAAAACTTAAATTTATACTCGACAACCTCAAAAACGCAATATTTCAAGGACACTGTAGGCAAATTCGAATACGTTTCCCTAGTTAAAAAAACTTCCCACACCCAAAAAGGAAGTGTGCTAATACATCATAAATCTCATCAAACCACACTAGAGTAAAAGAAGGATCGACACTCAAACTGACTCTCTTAATTTACAGGCATCTGTCCAAAGATCCTTGATTCCTGAAAATCCCCCAAAACCTTATCTACTTCTATAAATTTACGATCAGACAACTTGCATACTGCAAACGAAAAATTTCCAGCAAGAAATTGATCTGGTTTACAAATCTGTGTGGTTTATCCATTTAGTTTTAACTAACACTCCATTTTAAGTTTGACTTTCCTATTACTTCTCTTTTCATCCACGAGTTTCGTGACAGAATGTAAATGAGAAAGCGAGAGTTTATTCAGATTAAGGTAGAATGAAGTGCTATTTAAGTTTATAGTAGTTAGTGCTATTTAAGTTTCCGAAGTTATTTTTATATTATTGTACGCCTGTTCTAGGCCACATTGTGCTGTGATTATTAGAGAACTGCGTTAGCTGCATTGATGTGTTCTCGGCATTAGACTTGTCTCGCCGGTTTATTACAAACCAGAACTCTTCCTTCGCGTTAAACTATTCTGTTAGCCGTTAGGCTAATCTACCATACCTTGAAATTATTATTCGTTATGTATTTCGGTTAAGCCAGATGTTCTGGCTTTCTGTAATCCAAGTTGGGTCATTTGTTAATTTTATGTTTGAATAAAAGGGTCTAATACACTCTTCTTCTGATATCTGTTTAATTTCACAAGGCTATATAATAATTCTTCAACAGTCCTTTTAAAAGTTTATGTTCCCAAAGAGACATAGATTTTACAAATCGTCTCGAGAAATGATAAAACATTATTGACGCCTTGTATAAATATATTCCCTTATATGATCTTTGCATCAATATTAAGAAAATAGTAAAAAACAAAAGCAGCGATATTGCAGTTGTATGCCATGATAAAATGATGTTAATCTTTTAAAAGGTACACTGAAAAGCAGCCCGATATAGCTATTGCTCTTAAAATTTTAAAACATAGACTTCCTTCATCACATACATTCAGATTATAAGCGAAAAGAAGTTTGTACAAGAAAGGAGAATACATGTTTGTCGTAGAAATGACACTTTTCTGAAAATTCTGAAGCTAGCACAATACAGTTCTCTTTCTAAAGAAAAATAAATCACCGGAAAATCCTCTCTCATATCGTCCAATATATCTACTCCCATCTCTTAGCAAGCTCTTTAAAAAACTGATAACACGTTTAAACTTTCATTTCCATAAAAATACAATTTATACATAAAAACAAAACATAGCAAACAAATCGATTGATCACGCTTTCCAGATAATGCAGGAGGTTCTACCCCGAAATAAAATCCACAATTCCATTCGTGAATAATATCAGCATTTGACTCAGTTTGTTTCTAGATATAATAAAACCATTAGAATCAATCAACTGTCCTAAAGTTGTATTTTACTTCATAAAAGAATTATTTAAATAAAAGCTCATTGCAATGTACTTCAAAATCAGGTATTCGGTTTTATAAAATAACAAAGGGACGTCCATAGGACTCCTGTTTGAGCCTTACATTAAGGAACCTTATTGCCATTGTGGCACTGAAAAGCTTCGATAATTTTCAACGTATTCATGCCAGAGCACATGCTGACGATTTTTAACTCATTGTTCACGGTAAAAGTCGTCAAGCAATTGAGGAAAATTCCAATACCTTTCCGAAAATCTACCCCATTTCTCTGTGGCAGTCCATGTGTTAAAATAATTTTGATGGCATGTATACCATAAAGATCTCATACAGTATAGTATAATTCTTTTTTAGGCTTTTCTTCTGTGCATTTATGTTCTGAAAATTTATTCAGTATTTATATTTTGTTTATAGCAATCTGAATTATAATACACTGAACATGAATAATTTCGATTTCAATTTGAAATGTGCCTAATGAAAAAAATAAAAATATATTAGTTTATAATTTTGTTTTAATTTTTAAGTCATACTAATTAACTTGAAGTAGGAATAAGTAAATTTGAAAAAAAAGCTTCTTAATTTTTTGTGTATGTATGTGTTTTAATGGATTACATAACTATTATTTTTAGTGCGCGTTACTCAGTATTAAAAGGGAGATTATCCTCTTCTGATAATCACTTCTGAAATGGAATAATTTTTTATGTGGTAAGAATTTAGTAATAATATTTTTACTTATTTTTCAAACTAACTGACCTATTTGTTTAACCTTTTACTTCCTGATGCCTGACAAAATCAAGAAACAAAGTATCTAACTAAAAATAAACTGAATTCAGCCTCAAACACCAGAGAAGAAATACTCATACATATCAATTAATAAATTCCCAGAAAAAAATTAAACAATTTCTCGGTACGTTCAAATAACCAAATAATTCTTAGAGTTAGACTCGATATTATATCGAACTATTGCTGAATGCAACGTTGCCGGTTCCTGAGTCCGAATAAAGTCCGTAGGCACATGGCATAATAAGCACCGCACGTGGGAAAATCTCTGAAGATAAATCGGAGGCAACCAAATAATTCATCAGTAATCATCCATTATATTAATAATAATAAATATAAAAAGTGTTTAATACAAGCGTTGTGTTTTTAATTATAAAAATATTTAGCAATACTCTGGGTTTATCAATCTTCATGCTTCTAAAAAAATGGAGAGACTCAAACAAATGGAGAGACTAGACAGACTACCAAATAAATAACACAAATAAAAATAAAAATATTTATCAATAAACACATTTATTAATCTCTAGAGTACCATAAATGAGGATAGCTGTCCAGAATACCTTTACATCCAATGATTAAACAATATTCCAAATTATACTATTTTTAAATATTTCTTTATCAAAACTGGGTAACACACTTAAATATAATGCAAGATCATTTTGCAGAGTATTTCGATTGTTACTTAATTATATTTCATAGAGATTAGAAGAATCTTTAAAATCTCACACATTCAATTGTGTCCACAGCATTCCAATACTCAACTTAAACGTTACGAAATCATTATCAATTAATGTAAGTCATAATTAATAGAATTACATATTTTACAGACATTAGTTTTAAAGTCACTTAAGCACAACCCATTTCCTTTTAATTCTAATTTAAAATTCCATTTCTACTGATTAAGATGAAATAAAATTTTCCTCACTTGATATATAAAACAATGATATATATAAAAATGATACAAAGACAACTAACAGTAGAATTTCCTTACACCATCAGTCAGAAGGAGCTCCTAAGATTCAGTGCTCTCTCTGTCTCGAATTATCTGCGACTTCAGCGCAGGATCACGTTATCGAGTTCTTGGTATGCTTCACAAATCCACACAAAATACGAGTTCAAGAGAAATGACATATTGCAGAAAATATAAGGGAAGAAGCTCACTATCAATAATTTTTTAGTAGCTGAAAAGTAGATGAATGGAGAAACCGTAGTGATTCAGGAACATAAGACAGGAAAACGTTGCTCACACAGACGCGTTCAGGGGTCATATTTCTTGTAGAGAGCTGCATACTGGATTGAAAGAATGAAATCTTCAGGTATTGGGAGTTGAGCTATAATTAAATCTATTGGTGCGTTCGCTCGACTTGAGCGGTGAAGCACGAAGCACAAGCACGATTTCTTCGCCCTTTGGGACGGTGAGCTATAATTAAATCTATTGGTGCGTTCGCTCGACTTGAGCGGTGAAGCACGAAGCACAAGCACGATTTCTTCGCCCTACAACCGGAGCGTTGGCTTTGTAAAGCGGCAGTCAGCTAAGGGATGCATCGGCCAGGAAAACGTGGGCCCCAGCCAGTACCTCCTATAAACGAAGCCACCGCACGCCGCACACTACGTCACTAAAGTCGTCCTTATGTACAGAAAGCATGGTTGCCACATGAAACCAC